TTTTGTGTTGCATTGCATTTACTTCTTGTTTTTTTTTTGTTAAGCTTTTATTTATGTATAAATATGCATATTTGAGGGTAAGGCTCATTACGTCCCCCCTGACTAGGTGTATCTTTTTATTTTTATCAATAAAATTCACTCGTACTGTCGAGTTTTTAAGGTAAATTTCGCCTACCTGACTTTTGAATCCTGGATCCGCCACTGTACCTAAGTCTTTGATTTAGTTAACGGAAGAGAAAATGGTCTATCGAAGTCTTTGGTTTGGTTAATAGAAGAGCCTTCTACCGTTCCAAACCAATCCGTGCCCATGCCTAGTATTAGGAATGACAAGTTCTCTAGTTTTACAACAATACCCTTGATGAGTTAAAAAGAAAGGAAAAAGAAATACGAAAAGTTTTTTTAAGGGTCAAAAGTGATATTTGAAAATTATGATAGGGGTAAGTTTGTAAAAACAAAAATTGCATTACATGCTTTACCATGTGGGGGGGAAATTTCCGAAGGTGAGCCAAAGGTATGAAATTTCCCCCTATATGGGAAGTTCATACGGTCATACCCATGAGTGAGATATTCCATTCCCAAAGATGCACTTACCAAACATGGGAATGCAATTTCATACTCATTCCCAAGCTCCTAAACCTTGCACCAAACGGACCTGAATTATCAAATTCTTGCGTAAATCAAAAGAAACAAAGATTAAAAGAAGAAAGTGATGTAAGAGGTCACATTCTATGAGCACATTCTATGAGCACAGCAATGAAATGAAGTATCTTCCTTCTATGGACATGAGGATAAACAACGGTAGAAATTACAATCTCAATCCATACACATACATTTCGATATCGTGTGGTGCTTTAGGTTGGACTCTCTCTGTGTGCAAGGCCACAACAAAAACTAATATTAGGAAATATCTACTCCGATGGATGAGTCCCAAGTTGTTTCCTTGGCGAATATCAGCCTAAAAATCAGTGTCAAAACAAGCTACCATGATCTTGGATAACATGGCTCTAGCAAAAGGGATGTAGCTCAAGCTATACCTGTTACTCAAAACACCAATGCAAAATAAATGAATACTACCATACCAATAGAGAGACACAAAATAAGGGACACTATAGATTCCTGAAGACTAGTTATTAGACATTGTAATACTTTCGATTCCAATACAACATCAGGGTACATATATAAGCAAGAACATTGTCAAACTTCAACAAAAATTTTTTTTTTTTTTTTTAATAACATTGCTTTATTACCTGTCACATTGTTTGACCGGAATACGCAATTGGAATAGGAATGTATTTCATTTCCTCACTATCTTGGAGTTATTTTCTTTTTTAATTTTAATACAGCCAATTAATGAAAGTTTCTAATTTTAATACAACCAAATAATGAAAGGGTATTTGCAGTGATTTTACATTCCTAGTTCTATGGCATAGAAATACCACCCTTTGCATTTCCATTCCGGGTCTTAAGTGGAATTGACTCTAGTCAACTAAGGTAAATTCCTTATTTATGTTTCCATTCCAAAACTAGACTAACATAATATATGCATGGAATGGGAAAAAATTCCTATTCTTGATCCAAATTCCAGCTACTAAAAAAAGGGGCCAATAAGCAAATAGACAAGTGTACCCAAAACTTTAAACTCAAACAAATAAAGATGAGTATGATGTGCTTTGCTTGCTTGAAATGCGATATTACTGTGAGTTGAAAAATCAAGGCTGTAGAGCAGAAATCTTGGGAAACTTTGGCCAGCGGACCAAGTTTCATACTCAATCGATCTGCTTTTAATCCCAATCCACTTCATCACATAAGCAGTGGACTTCTAATCCATAGCAATAAAAAACAAACGTTCATGTTCTCTACGATGAAATCATTCTATGGTGCCTTGATGAATCGAAATTTGTCATATAAAATTTTCACATAATTTCATTGTTAGGGAAATGTTGGCAGTGAACAGGTCCTATATGAGTTAAGGGGAGGGTTTAGGGTTTTTAAGTGGACTAGCAATCTATTTTGGAGTTGTCAAGGTCGCCTTCTGAGGCGGGTTTATGAATGGTCTACTAAGTGTGCACAGGCCTCCTTTTCTAAGCTGCCAACTTTTATTTTATCAGTTGTTGGCAATTCATCTTTTTGGGTCATGTTTTTGACTGCCATGGCACAACAGAACATGACATGTTTCCTGACACTAGGATGGGTGGCAAGCCAGAGCACAACACATTTACTCGGGAGGGTTATTTTGTAACTTACACAGTTATTTCCTGTCAATGTTGTGCTTAACTACTAACATGAAAATGTCATGCCAAAAACTTCCTGACACTACAAATATGATAACTCATGTCAATTTTGTACTAATTTTCTGTTATTTCATGACATGTTATCATGTCATTTCCAAAATTGGTACCCCTAATTTTATCTTCCTCTTTTAAATTCTAATCTGACTTTTGTTTTGCTCCTCATCCACTTTGCTCTTCTTCGCTAAAAGCTAATGTAAGTTTACACTGTCATGGCACCTAAGAAAACACGCTACTTCTTTCCTTTCATTTCTCTTGTTCTGTGGCAACCAAGGAGGACCCTGTGGGTTTACCATTTAAGTGCTCCCCACAAGTTTCCACTTATGTGACACCTAAGCACACAAGTTACTTTAAAAAGCCCGTAATAGACTCATTCATTTTAAATTTTCAATGTAATTTAATGTTCCACATAAATATTTATTCTCTCTGCAGGACTTCTGTCCTTTAGTTAATTCCTTTTAATAATCTACCAACACATTGTTGACATGTTATCAATATGTTATTGATATATTATCGAGATGTTATTGATATGTTCGTCCTTTAACTAAAGTCCACCCTAGAAAGAAGATCTCACTATATATAATATATAAATTATAATGAGAGACTTCAGTTATCCAAAGGAAAACAAATGACATGCAACATTAAGAGTAGGGAAAAATTCACCTATACCCCATGAAGTTTGTCTCGTTTGGCACTTTGCCCATTGGAAGAACAAAAACTATGTTTTAAATACGCCCTAACTCTGATTCTTTTGCAATGGCAAGCTTGTCGTTAATTCTGCCACATTCTCTTAACCTTTGACATGTCTTTTTTTGGGGACATTTCCGTTCCTTTCTTCCCCTTTCATTCTCTCTCCTCTCTCTTGTCTCTCTATCCCAGTTTGCCATTCCAAACCTACAAAGCAAAACAAAGCCCTAACACTTCTCATCCACTCAAACAGGTGAATATCTGGATTCAAATCAGAAAATGAAATTCCAATACCAGAATCGGTGAGCATCCAGAGTTTCCAGAAATATGTATTCTCTAATGATGTTTTCTCTAAATCATGTATGACCTTGACCCACTAGATATTAAATGCACGCACCGATGTAGCTTATTCGTACCAATATCAGATGTTGATTTTATAGGCCTCTGGCTACTCAATGGTTGTGACCCATAAATGGATTTTCTTGTTCTTGCAGAAACCCAATTTATTGAAGACATGTACTTGAAAATCCAGTGGTACCAACCTCACAGCTAGGAATTTCGTAGCAGGGATAGTTGGGGTTTTCTAGATGTTCATTGATTCAGGTATTGGAATTTCTTTTTCCAATTTGATCTCAGATGCTGACTAATTTGAGTAGATGAGAAGTGCTAGTGCTTTGTTTTGCTATATATGTCTTCAATGACAAGTTGAGATAGAGAGAGATGAGAGAGAAAGGAGAGAGAAGGAGAAGAAAAGAAAGAGACAAAATACCTGTAAAAAGGTCATGTGTGCATCGCATGTCCAATTTAACAGAAAATTGGATGGATTTTATGGAAAGCCTGACATTCCCACATATTTTAGTTTAAGGGCTGTTGAAACCAAAAAAATTCTTCAGAAAAAAAGTGCCAAACAAGCTGAAGTTCAGGGGTATATGTTAATTTTTCCCTTAAAAAGAATGTGGATCTCAACTCCTCAATAACATATGAATGAGATTGAAAGAAAACGGCCACAACAAGAAAGTACGCAAATGCTGGCACATACCAAATCAATGCACCAAACTCTAAAAGTATCGCCAAAAGTGTCAATAACTTGTTATGAACCTGCTCAATGCAAAAGAAAATTAGATAACATCAGATGCTAAAATTATTCGAAGGAAAATAACACTATTCAAAATATACTTAAGAAAAAGAAAGTGAACCAAAGGGGAAAGCCAGTGTGAAACTTACGTAAAGAGCACAAAACAAGGCAATTATTATACTTGCAAGGTATATGGCTGTTGCATAAATACGGACAGGGTCAAGCATCATTGTCACTTGCCGTTTAGGGCCAATGAGGAATGCTGTGCTGCCAGACAAAAGAATCCAACTTAAAATCTGAAGTGGAAAAAAATTTTCCCTAGCCAATTTATAAAAGGAAAAAAATAATAATGTGTCCTTTTTTTTTTCTTTAAGGAACAGAGTTACTGAAAAAAATTTAGAACCAGAAAAACATTGAAACAAGTTACTACCAAACTGTCCCACAGAACGAGTACATTTGCTCCCTTCTTACGAATTCAGATTGTTGTATTAGTTCCCAATTTCCCTTTTTTATACTTTTTTAAATGGAGAGAAAAAAAGAATTGAACTAAAAATATTTTCTGGAGATATCCATTTTCCTGGAGAGATGGACAAGATATTTCAACAGTTTGGTCTCAAGCTGTCAATGTTTTTTAAAAACGAGAAACACATTGAGAACTTCAGACTGAAAAAAAAAAGAGGAAAAAACATTAAGGGATAATACAATCATTTGAACGCCCAAGAAGGGAGCAAATATACTTGTTCTATGGGACATTCGGATGTAAAACCAACCTACTTCCAAGTTGGCTAGCCAAAAGAAAAAAAGAAAAAAGGGGCAAATACACTGGGCCACTAAACTAAAGTTAGGAAGAGATTCTGAAATTTTAATGTCACACATTAGGACACCTCAAACCTCCACTGATATTTCCAAGAGAGCAACTGAAAAAAATAATAATAAGAAGAAAACTTAAACCTTTTTGTAAATTAACCATTTACTACTATTTATTTAGTTAAGCACACAAGGCGTTTCATGTTGACTGACATCAAATGCTACCTTACCAAAATTTGCAACAAAAAAACAATCACATTTTAAACCACTTATGGATCACATGAGAAGCAAATCTAACACAAACCTCCCAAGTGAAAGAAGATTTCCCAGTGTGAATGTAATTCCAAACTTGATTGGATGGAAGAAAACAAGCATCGACTGTCACATGAAAAGAAAACAAGCCTACATATCAGTACCATAGCAGGAAGGCCCCTAACATGTATTCAAGTCAATTTTCCAATTGTCCTGTAATATACAAAATAAAATTACTAGATCACTTTAACTTAATTCTAAATTGAAAAACTAAATTTAGGAGTTCAATTTTCCAGCAACACAGTAAAAAAACACATATAGTCCAACTGTTAGTACTTTGTTCAAGGACGCTTCAATGCCTTCCCCTCTAAAAGCATATTGTAGATACTAAATATGTACAACACATGATAGAAGCATTATTATGATACTGAAGCCTTAAACATATTGAGTTTGGCAATTGCACAAGGAGTAGAATGTAAGAGATTTTGAGTTGCAATCAATTCCAAAACAAGAATTATTGTGCACAAATGTGTCATGGTAGGAGAAACTAGTAGTTCCAAGAAAACCAACACGAAACTTTTTATCCAGGTCAGGTATTAAATAACGTGAACAAATTATGATCTGACATGCGTACTTGAAACAGAGCAAACACTTTTAGAACTAAATAGTGATATTTGTCCATCTAACACAACTTAGACACCGATATGACACAAACCACGCACGGTTATAAAGACCATAATGACAAGTCTTAGTCATGTGAATCCTCAGGTACTGTCTTATTCAATGTTTGTTCAATTACTATTTTACCTGCAAATGCAATGTAATGGGTTCGGCAATAATGATATCTCCCAACATACCAAAACTGGCCGTCACCCCACCCACCTGTGGTAGGGGATGTAAAGATTGATACATAAAATAACTTTTTATTTGATTGATAATCATATAAAGCAGAAGACATTTTAGTAATCTGCATCAAGCTCAAACTAGGATTTTAACATTTTTCTTGTTAGTATGGTCAGGCCAATAGTACATCCAACTTCAATTGAAGCTCCTAAAACAGTACATGTCTTAATAACATAAAAGCAGATTTCCCAATAATCACCATCCATTCACTAAAATCTTAGCTTTGGATAATAACACAACACTGTGAAAATAGAACTGAGTAGCAAAAATAAAAGCACAAGTAAAACAATTAGATGCATAAAACTTACCAGGAGCGTACAAGTTAAACCGGCAGTCAAGCATATGGCGAAACCGTAAAACCTCTGTTGAATCACACAGAAAGAAAATAAAGCCACTATTGAGATTTTAGTGAAAATAAAAAATAAAGGAAATGCAGATCTGGGTCTGAGCCATGAGTTGGTTTCTGCGAATTGAAGTCGTAGAGTAATTACCTGTTTGGTGGACAATGTGCAGTTGCGATTGAAGTCGTCGATGAAGTTGGTATCCTGTAGAGCAGAAGAAGAAGCAGCTTCATGGTCGTCCTCATCCACCTCCATACCCACCAGCATCTTCACCTTCTCATAGGCCTGGTTCATCTTCTCCATTCTTTAAGTTCGGGATCTCCCACTCTCTCTCTCTCTCTCTCTCTCTCTCTCTCTCTCTCTCTCTCACAGGTTTTCTTTTTATTTTCTTCGTTGATTTGGGAAAGATTTCGGTATTTATGAAAAGAAAACTTCTACTTCCTGCAATTGACCTCCTACCTGTTTTTCTCTTAGCTACTCGCTCGGGTGATCCCTCACTTTTTAAAAGTCGTTATTTCGGTCCAACTCCCAAATCAATCAACGTCCTTCATCTTTTATCTTTTGATTTACACATCCATTTGGTCGTCATTGTTGCGTTGGAACAAAACTTTCATTAATTGTCATTGTTTTAGGAAATGCGATTTATTTTATTTTCGTTTTAGAATTCAAATTGTGAGTAAAAAATGAATTTTGTTTGTGAAAGTTTGCTGGGGGTGGGAGCAGCAAATTGACCCACATAATTCCAGCAGAAATGCCTCAATCCGGTTTCAAAGTAAATGATTGCAATTCTAAGAGCATCTCTAACCGAATTATCAAAGCTAATGTGGAATGAAGATTGGAGGTTCAGTTGTTATTTTTGACATCCCAAAAGCAAGATGTCAAATAAATATTTTATTATTTTTAAAGACAGCGGGCTGTTACTTTCATTTATAATTTTACTTTTTTTTCTTCTTCTTTATCTTTAATGATTTGAGTGTTACAATAATTATTTATTTGACATATCGAGTGAAGTATAAAACTGTTTAAATATCAAATTGCCACATCAGCCATCAAATTTAAATTTGATGTTTGGTATTTGACATCTCCCTTGGAGATGCTCTAAGAGCACTTCCACCGTTGCAGGCTAGCTTGAGCGAAATTGGGTCTGAGGCTCGTTTCAAGGTTCACGAGCAGCCGAGCTAACGGTGGGGGCCACCAACACAGCAAGCCCAAAGGTAGATCGAGCCCGAGCTTATGCCCGAAGGCTGCTGACGTTAGGTTGGCACATACAAAGTGCATGTGCCAACAGTAAAAAAAATTTGAAACTTCCGTGCATTAACGCCCAACAACTACAAGCCACTAGCTTGTCTTGGGGTGTTTGATCATATTATGTCCTGCAATGCAACAGTTGCCGTGTTTTGTGTAAAACAAATTGAAAAAAGTTCGATTTTTATTTAAAGAAATACCAAAAAAACTGAATTTTTTTATTATTTATAAATACCTACCAATATTCTTCACTTTTCACACCAAATCTTCATACATTTTCTTCTCCTTCTAATATTATTAGTCCCTTGGCACATGCTCACGCATGTGTCAATTGGTTTTCTTTTTTCTTTTTTATTTTATTGGTAAAATTAAAATTATCTTTTCTTAATTCTAAAAATAAAAGAAAAAAGAAAACCATGTGTGTGACAAGGGGCTAGTGTTCCATAAAAGTAAGACTTATTATCTGATTTTGTTTTTATTTTTTATTTTTATAATATGAAGAAATATGAATTTACTATATTATCCTCATTTAATTAATGTTTGAATTCTTAATGTTTGAATTAACCAATGGTATTTTGAATGTTTCACCATTCTCTACTTTTTGCTTTACATATATAGATTCACTTACCACACCAACTCAGACCTCTCACACCATATCCTCTCTATTCGAAAAATTTCTCAAATTTTAGAAAACACATTTATTGCTCTCAATGTCTTTTCTCAAATTTTAGAAAACACATTTGTTGCTCTCAATGTCTTACACAAGGAGGTTTTTAGAGAGGCAAGAGAGAGAAATTGAAGAAAGATGGCGCAAACGAGCTGAATAAGAAAAGGAGGAGGAAGAAGATGATGATCAAGTTGCCATATCAATGGGTATGCTCCATCAATCAAGCCAAGGCAAATGGGTAAAAGTGCTCTAAGAATAAGAACTGACATTGAAATACATCAAAAAGATTTTTTAAAAAAGTCAAATTTTATCTCAAGGCAACCAATATTTTTTCAAGATAGCTCCAATTTTCTCTTTTTTCTTGTTATATTGTGAAGTGTTTGGCCGCCATAGGCAGAAGAAGAATATATACAAAAAGGAACCAAATGAGAGGTGTAGGAGATTAGATTAAGAGAGTGCAACTGCCCTCACAAATTCCAGAGGCCTGCATCATATGCATCATCTTATGTACATGTTCCAAGAACCAACCTCTCTTCCAGAAACCACAACACTATTTATTCAGACACCAATGGAATAATCTCATCTAACATCAGGAGGGCCGGTCAAACTATTTCCAGCACGGCTGCAGCTATCTCCAGCAACATTAGCTACTATCTCGTCCTTGCAGGGCCCGCCAGATTTTGCTACAAAGATGGAGCTTTTGCATCTATCACAAACAAATTTTGCAGGAACTGAATCAGAGTCAGGGATTCCAGAACATTTAGTGTGCCGCCACACGCCACAAACATCACAAGTGAACATTCTCTCTCCATCATCATCCTTAGCCCCACAGCTGCAATCCACTGTCCACCTCTCAATCCCCCTCTCCATCATATACTTACTCCACACACTCTTTGCATTGCACCTCCCTCTCACTCGAACAGATTCTGTTGACCCTAACAAGTGCTTGATCTGGGTGGATTCATCAACACCGCCATAATCAAGCAACTCTTCGGCTTTAAATCTTTTTAATATCAAATATACATCTTGGAAAGCTTTTGATGCTGCTATCTTGAGATCAGATACAGTAGCATTAGATAACACAATCAGCTCTGGAGGAGGATTAATGGAGGCATATTCTTCAGATTCATCCGTAAATTCCACTCTACACAAGACACATGTCACAGATGGGTCATTAGTGGACATCTTTTCAGGCTTGTAGTCTTTCACAAACTGCTTGCAGTAAAGTAGCTTTTCAGCTGAGCTGATTGTGAGATCCCTTGTTACCTGAGGCACATTCTTCATCATAGTTTGGGGTTGGAGCATGGCCTCATATAAGCAGCGCATGTCAAGCAGGATTGTTTCTTCTGATAGGCGGCTAGAGATGGAAGAACCGGTGCAAGCGGTGCTTCCCTTTGATGAGGCACTTCCAGCCTCAAGTCTGATAAACAGTTTTTAGTGCATTACAATCTAACTTAACTGTTGATACATAAAAATTACAAATTAAGTTCAAAGAAAATCAGGTCCACAGAACAAATATAGAAAATCAGGTCCACAACCTAACTCATTAGCATTTAGATCTTTTGAATATCAAATCTAACACTCTATAATTATTTACTTAAGTTACTAAGCTTCATAAGCAAATTAAATGTGGAATTAGCAAATTGTATGACTGTCACAAACTGCTTATCACTACGTGCAAAAACTGTGAAGGAATTTACAAGAAAAGAAAAATCCCTTGCATTGACATTATGGTCTGCAATTTCCAATCAAACAGACTTGAGCTTATATTTCCAATCAAAATCTTACATACACAGACAGTTTATTGAACATTTGAAGAATGGCTAAAGATGGTTAAGGCTAAATCTGCCAGAGGGAAAATAAGAAGGGTAGGAATGAATTTGATTAGAAAAGTTGTTTCACTCCCCCTCTACGACACTAACAATATGAGTTTGGTTTCAAGTGGGGAAAAAAGGAAAAGAAAATTCTAGCCAGGGGAAAATTTATAAGCATTAGAATGGCAACTAACCTGTACTCGAAAGCCTCCGTATCAGGATTGTATCTGGAACAAACAACCATCCCATCTGCTACCATTTTCCCTCCAAGTTCCCTAAGACAATAATCAAGGAGTTCTGGTGGTGCCACCTTGTACACAGCACCCTTAAGATTGCGCCCACTTACCCAATTTGAACCAGAAACCGCACGCAGCACTTTAAGCATGGCCTCTTCAACACATTCAATGTCACTATTCCATGTACACAAAACTTCTGAGGTGGAAGCACGTCGCTTCTTGCTCACGGCATCATCAACCCTTGAGGAACACTTGTGAGCATCATGGACCAAACTAATAAGGACACCAAAAAGATCCCTCATATTTTCAAGCTCATGTTCCGATAGAGACTTGTAACGCAAGATGATGTCATGGATGCGAGAACCAAGTTTTCGACCTTGGCTAAGAAAGATGGACAAGGGCAAGCTAGAGAGTGTTTCAATGGCCAATTTATAGGAATCACGAGTCAGAGCAAAACTACCAGCAGCAAATTCATAACCCCAATCACCGTACCAGGGATGCCCTTTAATAATTGAATGAAGTAGTCGATATTCCAACCCGTACTTCTTTGACACATCCATCACACTTACCATTCTGCTCATGTTTGGAAAATGACAGATGAGAGTTTATGTCATGAAAAAGAGCATGTAAAAATAAAAATAGTATAAAAAATAAGACCGCACTTTTTTGGTGAAAGCAACACAACTTTAAAATGAAGAAATACATCACTTATAATCCAAATTATATAAAGGTTTTTGTAACGATAGAATTACCGAGGGAACTTTACACTCTAATCAAAAACCTCACCCTGCATACTATTCCACGTATGTTGTTGTATTTCTCTGCTTTCATTACAAGAGTGGTTATGGGTTCAACTCCTAATAGAGTACATAGCCAAAGCCTCAAGACTAGGGCATGTCTGGCCCAGCTATTTGAAGAAAAACATATAATAAAAAACTACAACTATCCACACAAACTATGCATATGTGTTGGAAATGGCATCTTCCTCTGGTTGACAAAAAGGGTTTCCTTAATATTGATATTAAACCAAACTATAAAAATAAAAATACAAAACCTAACCTGACTCGAAGTGCTTTACAGAGCCGATCCCAAAAGTCCATGATATGACATCCAGAAAGAACCCTTGAGCCACCTTCCCTTCCATTTACCCTAAGAAGGTGTCCAAACCCATTTGAATGGACTACTCCATGGAGAAGATGAGTTGTGTTCTCCAACTGGTTATACACCCAGTCTTCAACATCATTTGTACTTGCATCAAGATTGCAAGATTTACACCTGAGACAAAGACACATCACCAACCATGTAAAAATCATTCTCAACCCTATCAATGGTTGCTGAAGGGTAGGAAATTAGCACGCATACTTGTGTTAAACATTCAGTGAACTGGTTCAACCAACTATACAAGTCAAGGAAACCTAAAGTTGCAAAGGAATGAGTGCAGTTCAGGGGACACAATTGTAAACACTTTAAATCTCTTAATATTTCAACATCTGACAGTTGAAAATGAATATGACACCATCAAAATAAACAATCTTTTTAAAAAAATTATTGGGATTATGAAGATGCA